CAGGAGGCACATGTGTCAGCTAGCGCATTGTCACATCTACTCGAGCAGGTTCGGAGGTATGGACTTCCAGAGCATTCATCCAGGGCCACCTTGCAGCGTGCCCGACACAAAGAGGCCCAAAGGAGCACGTCGTTCGGACCTCTTCTCGTGAAGCAAACGTTTCCTTCAAGCTGCGGAGGCAGCGTAGATCTCTGGTTTCAACACCCCCTCGGATGGTTGGAAGTTGCGCGCCGCGAGAGCGTTTCCTTTGGGCGTCTGCTTCGCCAGACTCTCGACGCGCACGGCAACAAGCTGTCCGTCATTGCGTACACAGACGAGATCACGCCAGGCAATCCGCTGGCAGAGAAGAACCAACGGCGCATTGAATCATTCGACTGGTCAGTACGTGAATTCGGATTTCCAGCACTATGCCACGAAGAGTGCTGGTTCGTGGTCACTGGGGCGCGCTCCACCATAGTGAACAAACTTCAAGGTGGCATGGCAGAGTTGATGAAACACTGCCTCAAGCTTTTCTTCGGACGGCCAGATCAAGCTGACCTCAGGAGTGGGGTCCATCTGGACATTGGCGAAGATAACCCTCGATTTGTGGTCGGCTCTCTTTCGATAGTCGTGCAAGATGAAAGGGCACACAAATTTGGATTCGCGGTGAAAGGCGTGGCAGGACACAAACTGTGCGCTTTGTGTCAGAACGCTTGCTCCTACTGGAGCCACCTGCTCCCCGACAGCACTGGCTTCCTTGCTTCTAGCGACGAGGTCGACATCGCAAAGTTCAGGCCTCACACTCATGCTAGTATCACTGGTATACAGATGCGCCTGAAGCAATTGGCAGAGGCAGGAGACAAGCAGGAGCTTGATAACAAGCAAGTGCTATTCGGATTTCTGTATTGCCCCACTGGTGTACTCCAGGACCGCGACCTCGACGTCAACTTAGCAGATGTATGGGCGTGGGATTGGTTACACACTTACTTCCAAGGCGGTGTGTTTACTGTGGAGGCAAGAGCATTGTTTACCCGCCTGGCGCCATATCGATTGGGTGGTAAAGAGTTCAGCGAGTACCTCTCTCATTGGGTGTGGCCCAAAGGCTATGCATCAGGCGCCAACGCGTGCTCGAAAAGGAATGACTTCCTTCCGAGTGGGAACGCCAGTGAGCAACAGTCGTGCGCCCCTGTCATTGAAAAATTCTTGGTCTCTGTAGTCGGACCTGCAGGCTTCTGCGAGAAAGAAGTGGCAAGCGGCATTTCGTTGTGCATTGTTTCTCGTCTCCTCTCTTTGGTCAATACAGGAGTTGTCAGCGCTGCAGCTCTCGGAGCTGCAATTTCGACGCATCTGGTGAACTTGAAAGCAGCCTACGAACTCGAGGTGTGGCTTCCAAAGACCCACACTACGCTACACTTGCCGTCACAACTGCTCCGCCATGGGTGTTTGCTTTCTACGCACCTCATGGAAAGAAAACACAAGCTGTTCAAACGATACGCAGATGATCGCCACAATGCGCGAGGTTACGAGTTGGGACTTCTTGAAGAGACAACGGTTCACCAATTGTACAAGTTACGTGAGCCTATAGTTGGTGATGGATTGGTGGACCAGCTGGAAGCTAAACAAACACTCAGAGATGCCGTTGCCGCCTGTGGTATGTGTGTGAGCCCCCTTATGCCAATCAAGACTTCAAACTCTGCCCGAGTGCAGAGCAGGGTTGTTGTGGTGGACGATGTCGTTGCATACTTTGGAGCCGATGGTGCAGTATTATATGGTAAGGTTCAGTTTCACATTCAGGTTGGAGAACATGTGTACACGTGCGTAACACAATGGCACGCCTTTGACAGTGATGAGATCAGCGTAAGATGTATAGTCCAGTATGCCCCCACCTTGATCCAGACAAGGCTCATCATCGAGCCGTGCGTGTTTAGGACTGTTCCCGAGGGAACGGCATGCGAGGTTCTCGTTCCAGGTAGGCTCAGGTAGGGGAAGCGTACGGCTGAGTGACATCGATAAGGGCACAGCTTGAACCTATCATTCCTCTATCTCATCCTCCTATTCTTGGGAGGGCGGTTCCCTTTTGCAAAAATAGGGCCTTCGCTTGAGACGTCCAGCGCCTCCCAAAAAAGGTGAAAACGTGCAGAAGCTTCACGGATGGAGGGCTGAGCCTTTTCAAATACTGAGCTCTCGTTTGCTATGTCTGCCTGCCCCATGTCGACAAGTACGCTTGTAGCAACGCAGGTTTTCGCAGAACACTTGACATATTCTGGGCCAGATGGGGGCAACATTTGAAAAAAAAAAAAAAACAAAAAAAAAAAAAAAGGATACAATGCAAAATCCCACTTGGTTGATCCCGAATCCTACAGTTAGCAACCTCGTTAACCTAGTTAACCGCAACCACCCTAAACAGGTTAGCTCGTGCAGCTAACCAGATTAGAAACTCCATGCGAAACCACTTCGTAAGGTGGTTAACTATCCTCATTACATCTAGGTTAGCTAAGCAGCGTACGGCGCTAGCAACCATAACTATCTGAGCTATGTGCTAAGGAACCGCCATGAGCATCCAAGTAACCCCCCAGGACATCCCCCGGCACCCCTTCCAGGACCCCTCCCCCCCCCCCGCGGGGGGTGGATCAAAAGGAAGGGCGCCTTGCTTTCCGTCGACTCGATAACGACATTAGTAATTTTTCTCTCGCTACAGGCTTGAGGAGGAGGGCACAAGGAAAGGGGACGACGGAGACGACGACTGACGGAGACGACGACTCGAACTGACAATCTTCACACACGCCGACAGGGTCGGCGGATTTTGGGCCCTCGCGATGCGGGAACAATCGCGACGGTGGGATTCTGGTCACGTTCGCCTTCTGGGGGTCCCTGGGACCGTGGCAAAGACGACTCGGAAGGAAAAGCCGGCCCCATGGAAGAGGTTCAGACCCCGGGGGCCTGCGTTGTGAAACAATCCTGGCTTCTAGGGCCCGGCTTAGGCAGGGCCTCCTGCGAGGTGGCGTCGGAGAAGTGGACCGAAGCGCGGAAAGAACAGCATCGCGTGTGCGTTTCAAACGGGTGTGGTGCTTGACGAAGTCCAACGCGCTGCCGAAGTGCGAGATGTGTGAAACTGCAGCGAGGCCCTGTGGCCCCCCTGTGAGTTCCACCAGCCCAGACATCCAACGATGCGTTTGTTTCAATCCGCGGCCACAGAAGGCGAAAGTCGCTCAAAAACAAAATCGAGATCGTTGATGTGTGCCTCTTGGGGCCCTCTTGGAGTTCCTCTTGGGGCGCCTTGGGAGAGCCTTGGGACGTCTTGACGCCATCTGGGCTGCTCCTGAGGCTTCTCCTGCGTGTTGGAGCCCGCCTGGAGCCATCTTGCAAGTAGTCTTGGGCATCTTGGCGGCCACGGAGGGTAGATCTGGAGGCTCCAAGGATCCCGTGGGTGCCTTGACGAGCGTGTAGGGAAACCCCCCGCCCCGTCCTCTACTGTGATTTTGGATCCCAGGGGAGGGGAAAAGGGGGATGGGGGACAAGCGATCAAATCACACGCCTTTTCACCCCCAGAAGGGGGAGGGTAAGTATTGAATCTCATCACGCCAGCCAATCCCTGTATCGCCCCCCCCCCCCATGTTCATCCCTGCCAAACATTATATGATTTGGTGAGCATGCATTGATATATATATATAATGCATTTTCTCTTCGAACCCGCTGCAAACGCAACAACGATTCGGGGCACATGGGCGCGCCGCCGTGCGAACAGATGTCGACATCATTTGAAGGCCAGCGTGTTTTTCCAGTTCAAAGCAGAGCCGTTCAACCAACAATCGAGAGCCGTTCTCGTTCAACAAAGCGTTGCCATGATTTCAAGAAGAACAATGCGCGTGCACTCGCTGGAGTCATGAGAAGACCATTGTTGCTTAGCCGTTCTGTCACATGAGAGCATGCGGGGCACACGCGCGCTTGTCGGAAACGTGTACTCTTCATCGCGCGCCCGCCAACTCGGCGATTCTGCCAAGTGATAGCATGCGGGCCACACTCGCGCGACTCCGCGCGCACTCACCGAACTCCTTCCAGACCCAGCAGCTCTCTGACAGTTGCAGCACAGATGTTCGAGCACATACGGAATCAAAATGGCTGTTTAATCAATGTGTACCAGGAATTCAAAATTCCTGCAAGCGCGCACTTCGTGATCACCCTCGTCTGCACAGTCGTCCTCAGCATCGCCAGCGTCAGCATAGCCATCGTCATCTACATGTTAATAGTCAGCATCATCAGCATCACCATCAGCATCTTAATCAGAATCATCACCATCACCACTATCGTCGTCGTCATCACCACTGCCGTCATCATCGGCAACGTTGGTTGATGTCGCCGCCCTCGTCAAATCTATGCTGGCGCGCACTTCCTCATCGTCCTCACCATCATCATCGTCATTATCGTCGCCAGCGTCATCAGCATCACTATCATTATCATCGCCATCAGCTTCACGATCACCATCGTCGGCGTCGACATCGCCCCCACCGTCGTCATGAACATCATAATTGTCATCGTGATCGTCGCTGTCGCCGTCCAGCTGAGCTGTGCAAGCAGGCTGCGGGTGGGTGGGTGGGCTGTTTGCGCCAGCATTGGATGTGGTCGCGCGCAGGTGTGTTCAATTGCACCGCATAAGCTGTACCACAGAGGTTGCAACACACACACACACACACACATACGCACACATGTTTCACATGTGTTGCATCGCGCAGACTGCGCCATAAATTGCACACCCCATGGGCTCCACCACATCCATCGACATGTGTATAGATGTCTGGGGTTTCTGCATATACACTCTAACACGTTGGCTGCATCGCATATACTACACCATATACGGTGCGATGCATCGGTTGCAGCATGCACAGATTGCACTACTCAGGTAGCACATCGAGAGTGCACTAGCCCATTCTGTGGGTCCCACTCTGGCAGTCATGTATTACGGCGGAGTGGCCTGACGGCTTCGACCTCCTGGACAGCCAGGGTTCGAATTGAAGCCTTGCCAGGAGGCATCCACGAAGCTATCTGCCAAGTCGTGGGGCAAGATTCTCCAGTTGGCGGGGCGGAGCAGTCTGGCGGATCCCGAGACGGTGGACGCGCTGCTCGTGACCATGGCGCTCCACAATATTGGCAGGATCCTCTCACTGTCCCTTCCCAGCCCCCGCCGTGCCGCTTCACCCCCTTATCGCCCCTCGCTTTCCCGCTTGCAGGGAGGGCTTACCAGGCAGGTCTAGGACGAAGCGCCCAAGAGCGTCCCCGAGTTCTCGGGAACGCTTTAGGGAACGAAGTGCCCAGGTTTAGTTCCTGAACGACCACGGAACGTTCCCGAGCTCTCGGGAACGGCCGCGGCGCTGGACACATCCTTAAGACCCGCCAGCTCTCAGAGAACCACGATCATGCCTGACAACGGGCTAAGCATGTTGGTGGCGGTGCATAGGTACCCTCCTGGGACCCATTTTGATCCGACCAGTATGATTCGATACCGATCTTGGCCGGCCCGATCCGATTCGATCCCGCTGTTCTAGAGCCCCTGTGCGGCCCGATGCTTGCATGGCGTTGTTGTGCATCCTGGCGCGGCCGATTCGGTCCGCCGATTCCGACTCCGTGCCGATGCGTTCCGATCCGAAGCCCGTGTCGGCCCGATGCGAGGTATCAATTCGATGACGGCCGCTTCTGCCTCTGCGGGTCTCGTGCCCGGAGACCTAGGGAGTTCCACAAGACTCGACAGGATCCCGAAGCTCGGGGCGCAGCTCGCGCCCGACGCGGACAGCCACAGGCACGTCGTCGTGCACATTCTCGACAGCAGCCCCAAAGTGCTGCCCTCCTACTGGCGCCTGAGCCCGCGATACCGCAAGGCTCGACAGACTCGAAATGGACGGCCAGCGTGGCCGCAGAAGGAGCAGGATTTTAACAGCAGCCCCGAGAAAGCGGCAAGCCGCAGGTGAAGATGATGCTTGCAGCTGAAGGGAGCTCTCAAAACTCCCGACAGCTTGGCCACCTTAGTCTTAAGTCGGGCGTGTCCCTCTACAGGGGGAACATTCAAAAAGAGTCCAAAAATAATAGGGAGACTATTTTTTGAGTATGTGTTGATCATGCTGGAGCATTTTCGGAGTATGTTTTATTTTCCGTCGAAAACCCCCCTGTAGGGGGACACGCCCGACTTAACCTTAGTCCCTAGACCGCCTGTAACGAGACTGGGGCTTGGGCTCCCTGGGGACATTCGAGTGAGCCTCTGCAACGGCATCTGTCACAGGAGTAGAGGAGGAGGAAGGGGAGGAGGAGGAAGAGGAGGAAGAGGAGGAAAAGGACAAAGGGGAGGAGGAAGAGGAGGACGAGGAGAGGAGGAGGAAGGGGAGGAGGAGGAGGAGGAGGAGGAAGAGGAGGAAGAGGAGGAGGAGGAGGAAGTGCTCAGCGGCAGCGGGATCGACGATCGCTTTGAACGGCACTCGCGGTCGGGACAGGTCCCCTTTGCGCCGACGCCGAAGCACAGAGCTGCCCGTTCAAAACCACCAGGCCCACAGACCCCCCAGCTCCCGCTGCAGCCCTTCATTGTCAGGAGGGGGAACGGGAGAGGAGTAAGATCACGGACAGCAGCCGTAGCAATGAAAAGCGGGGGACAAAGAGGGGAAGCCAAGCAGAAGAAAAATAGGAAGAATAAGAAGAACACGACGAGGTGCAGAGAGCAGGAGCAGGGGGAGCGGGAGCAGGTAGGACAAGGATGAGGAGGGGGAGTAAGAAGGACGAGGGGGACAACTGTGAGACCAAATTGAAATCTGCTTTGTTGGGGGAAGAGCGGGGTCGGGCTCTAGCCTGAAGTTTGCCGACTATGAGCTCCGGGGCTGAAGAAGGCCTCGGACGTTAGGCGATACTCCTCGTCATCATCTCCCTCCCATTCGTCCGTTTCCCCCTCCCTCTCCGTCTCTCTTTCCTCCATCCGTTGCTCATCACATTCCCTTCTCTCGGTTGTCCTCCTCTTCCTCGTCCTCCTCCTCCTCTTTCTCGTCGTCCTCTTCCTCCTCCTCCTCCTCCTCCTCCTCCTCCTCCTCTTCCTCCTCCGCCTCCTCCTCCTCCTCCTCCTCCTCCTCCTCCTCCTCCTCCTCCTCCTCCCCCCCTTTCTTCCGTGGCCAATTTGACTCAGACTAGTTCGGCTCAAATCGTTCTGGTTCAGGCTGCCCGAGCCCTGTTTTTCGCCTAGGCCGGGACCTGGTTACGCCAACTACTATGCATGCAGGTGAGATGGAGGCAGCACTTCTGAAGCAGTACAACTTGGCCGAGGACGCCATCCTTTCTATTCAACACGGAACTGTTCGCAGGCAGGCAGCCGCGAACAGGACGGCCATTCCGCTTCCCGAAGTCCATGGAAGAGGCTGCGGTGCCCCTGAAGGTCGACATCCTCAAGCAGATGGGCCCCGGCTATCTGGCCCTCAAGCTTTGGACAGGCCAGTACAAGGTGCACTTCCCCATGGAACCCGCTGGCATGAAGCTGGAGGTTAAGGTAATGAAGCTTGACGTTGCCGCAGCCGCTGCCGCCACCGCCGACAAGGAGGTCGAAGATCTCAAGGACGCCGCGGGCGGGGCGAAGGCCGCCAATAAGCACCTGAAGCAGCAGCAGCAGCAGCAGCAGCAGCAGCAGCAGCAGCAGCAGCAGCAGCAGCAGCATGTTTTGCAGTTTGTGCAGGGCGCACTGCAGACGGTGATCAAGGGGAAGCCCGAGCACGCGTTCGGCTGCACTGCGCGTCACCTCATGGCCGGACGACGTATATGATTCTTCTCCTGCCCCTCCCGCGCCAGCAGCGAGGGCAAAGACCGCGGATGGCCCAGCGAGAGCTGCTGGAGAGGCGAAGCCGGATGCTGCACGGGAAGCCCGCTGAAGTTGCGGGGCCGGCAACTGAGGAGGCGAAACCGCCTGAGGCTGCCGCACTATCAGCAGAGGAGGCGAGGCTGGCCGAGGCCCCCCCGCGCCAGCAGCTGAGGAGGCGAGGCCCGCCGAGGCTGCCGCGCCACCAGCAGAGGAGGCGAAGCCAGAGGCCGCGCCAACAGCGACCACGGAGGAGGCCAAGCATGCGGAGGCCCCCGCGCCAGCCCCCGACGAGGCGAAGCCCGCTGAGAGCTCGTGCGGCTGCCGCCGAGTCAGCGAAGCCAGCAGAGGTCGCCGCACCAGCTGCCGAGGAGGAGAAGCCGGCCGAGGCTCGCCAACTGTCGAGAGGCGGAGCCAGCCAAGGCCTTGGCGGCTGCCACCGAAGAGGCGAAGCCGGTCGAGGCCCCCGCGCAAGTGGAAGAGTGGGCGGGATGGCCGAGGCTGCCGCTCCAATTGCCGACGAGGCGAAGCTTGCCGAGGCTTCCGCCCTTGCTACCGAGGATGCGCGACCAGAGGCTGCCGCAGCAGCGACCACGGAGGGGGCCAAGCCCGCAGAGGCCCCCGCGCCAGCTGCCGAGGAGGCGAAGCCCGCTGAGGCTGCCGCGCCAGCTGCTGAGTTAGCGAAGCTAGCAGAGGCCCCCGCGCCACCCGCGGTTGAGGAGGCGAGGCCAGCTGAGGCCGCCGCACCAGCTGCCGAGGAGGCGAAGCCAGAGCCCTTCCCAGCAGCGGCCGCGGAGGAGACGAAACTTGCTGCTGAGGCTGCCGCGCCAGCAGCCGACGAAGCCAGCTCAGGCTCCAGCGGTAGCTGCGGGGGAGGCGAAGCTGGATGCAGCCTCGGCGCCACCCGCCCTAGGGGTGAAACCCGCGGTGACGCCGCCTTGGGCCACCCCCTCGAGGCCCGGTGGAGAAGGCGAGGCCAGTGGATGCTGGCGTGCCGCCCTGCCGATGAGGCGAGCGTGGCGAGGGTGAGGCCACAGGCCGGAACGCACGGGTGGCAAGTTGCCCCCGAGAGAGCGCGCGCTCCGAGCGGTCCCGCCGCGGGCGGGAGCGACTCGCGGGGGAGCGGCGCGGCAGCCATGGGCAGCGGCAAGCAGGCAGATGCTGCGCAGGGCGGGTCTGGGTGCAGGGCGCAGGGCATTATTCTTGGCATCGCTCGGACGTGTGCATGTTTCCTGCGGCGAGGGCCATCGAGGAGCATCCTTGGTCACTTGGCGAAAAAGCCACGCACGAAGCCGAAGAAATGGCACAGGGAGTGGACGTCCGAGCGACGGGGAGCATTCCGGTGGGGGGGTATAGGCGCGGATGCGGGAAAGGACACCTGCAGACTTCTCTCGGACCTCGGGTTCTGGGAAGGCCTGGCCGCCCGCGGCGCGCGGATGCTGGCGGCCCAGCCAGCGGCAGGCGGGCCACTGCAGACGATCTGCACGGAGAGCTGGTTCGATTCCCCTCCTCTTGTTTCGTTTCTCTATCGCTCTCTCTCTCTCTCTCTTTCCCTCGCTCTCCCTCTCGTCTGATGTCTCCTGTGAGCACGTATGTCCTCCTCATCCTCCTGCCCTTCACCCTCCCCCTCATCACATGCACTCCTCTTGTCATGTCTCCTCATCTCCTGATAATGATCCTGATCTTCCTCCTTCATCCTTCCTCTCTCCTTCCTGCTTACGCCCGTTCTTCCTCCCTGGTCCTCATCCTGATCCTCCTCCTCCCTTCTTCCTCCTGCTCCCCCTTCTCCCTCGGCGAGAGGGCATTGGGGAAGGCGAGGTATGAAATATTATTGGTGTAGGGGCATTTGTGTCGTGGCCGCCCGTCTGTGTGTGTGATTTTGTGCGCCTAGGTGAAAGCGCGTGTGTGTGTGATTGCATGTGTGTTGTGTGTGCTTGTGAGTGGTGTGTGTGTGTGTTGTGTGTGATGTGCGTGTGTTATGTTGTGTGTGTTGTGAGTGCGTGTGTTTATGTGCGCTTGCGTGTATGTGTGTGCTGAGGGTGCTGTGTGTGCTGTTTGTTTGGGCATGCGAGTGCTTAGTGTTGTCTCTGCCTGCTGGGTATCCCTACTCGTGACCCGTCTGCACCTGGCCGCTCTTCCAATCTGCACGACGCCCGGCCCTCCTGCCAGTCGGGCCGCCCTTTTGCCGCTAGCACCCGCGTTCCCACTGCGGTCCACGCCCTCTTCCGTGGACTCTGAGCAGTCCGCTGCACGCAGTCCGTTGCCAGCCTGAGACACATCCCTATCCCTATGAGTTACATCGCCCCATCTCGATGTCCATATTAAGGATTCCCCCCGTTTCTGAGGGCGCATCCCTACGGTAGGTTCGCGTCGTGTCGACCCGCGGCGACCCCGCCGACGGCATTCAACGTGGAGCGCCGCCAGCGACCCAGAACCGGACGATGTAGAACGATCTGACGCTTCGGAAACAGGCGATCGTTCACGGTTGAGTGATCCCCGCGGCGTCAGGAGCCCACGCCGAAGTCGGCACGACACGAGCCCGCCTCGCCCTTGCGCTGATAGCTTGTCGATCTCAGGGACAGGGACAAGTCCGAGGCTGGTTCGCCTGGTCGGGGTCTCCCCCCCTTCCGCTGCCCGCCCTCCTGGCCCTCCCGCCCACGGTGTGCGTTGCGTCTTAGCCTCGCTCGGCCGCGTGCAGTTTTCTCGGCGAGGCCGGCGCCAGAAATTTGGGATCGTTTGGGAGGATCTCGGACAACCGTGCGAAACAGAAACGCGCACGAAGCCGGCGCAGGCACGGAGAAGGGGCGTCCCAGCGATGGCAGGCGTCCGTGGCCCATGCATCCACGCGCGACAGAGGGTGCCACGTCTCCGGCGGAGGGAGGAGCGTAGGTGCGCGGGTGTGGTGTCTTTTGTTTGTGTGGTGAGTGTGATGAGCGTGGTGAGCGTGTGTGAGTGTGGTGTGTAGTATGTGTGTGTGGTGGTTGTGTCTATGTGTGGCGTCTGTTCATTGTGGTTGCTGTAGGTGTTGTTGTTGTGTGTGCGTGTGCGTGTGTGTGTGTGTGTTTGTGTTTGTGTTTGTGTTTGTGTGTGGTGTGTGTGGTGTGTGTGTGTGTGGTGTGTGAATGTGTGTTGTGTGTATGTGGTGTGTGTCTGTGTCTGATTGTGTGTATTGTGTGTTTGTCTGTGTGTGCGTGTCGATGTGCTTTTCTCTGTGCCTGGTTCTGTGCTTTTTCTGTGCGCGTGCTGGCAGCATTGCCCCCTCCAGTATACCTCAAACTGGCTTAAGGAAGTGATGCGTTCTTAAACTGAGGAGGAGGAGGAAGAGTAGGAAAGGGAGGAGGAGCAGGAGCAAGAGGAGCCAAGGCATTGGATTTCTGGCCACGTCTCAGGGGGGTCTAGCCCCTGGACACGAAAGGGGCCTAATTACCAGCTGCGTCTGAGAAGTTCGCTGGTTCGGGATCCGATGAAACTTTTACGCAGGGGGGGACTGGAGAGGTTAAGGGCCAGGCCCCTTTTGTTTCTACTCGTTCTGCTCGCGGGGCATGTGCGTGCCACAAGGGACCAGGAGCATTTGGAGACGAGAATAGCTCGAGGAAGACATAAACGATGTGCGCAGTCGGGCCGATCATTAGGAAGTATCCCCTCGCAGGTCGCCCCCAGCGTTTTCTCTGCAGCTCCCGCCACGCCAGCCCATTCCCCACCCCCCTCCGCACGTGAGTGCGGCTCCACTCGCTGGGCTCGCCCAGAGTGTGCTTTAGATGTTGCTGGAAAGCGGGCCCAGTTTGGCTGGGGGGCTTCCTCGTAAGATAAAGCCCTCGCTCCAGGTGAACGACAGAAGAAAACGGGGTCGCTTACGGACATTCGCGCGGAAGTTGCCCGCGTAAGGTCGCGCGTAAGCGCCTTCGTTTCCAGCGTGGCGTGCTGCGCTAGCGGCCCGCGTAAGCCGCGGCATAAGGTCGCTACTTCATCTCGCGTAAGACCCGTTTCTTTTCGTCGCTCAGGTGGTGCAGTGCCTCCTCAGCCTCCGGCTCTTCAACTTCCGGCAGTTCCTGGACGCGGAGAGCGTCCCGGCGAGCATCGCCACCATGAAGGCGGCAGGGTTCGAGCTAAATTGTGGTTGGGCGATTTCCTGGTAGACCGTCTTCGTTTTGATTCCCCTTTGCTGCAAAGGCGGAACGAAGACAGAACGAAGGAAACCAATGTTAGCCAGCGCGGACCCCAAACGGTGATGTCTTGTAGTCTGTACGGTCTATACGGTGCAATCCATTTCGACTGTCTTGAAGCTGTCCTCTCCACTGCTCGTGCAAACATCCCACCCTCCCACCCGCAACTTGGTCGCAAGACATCTTCAGACAAGACCGTGACGGTAGGTACTGCGTGGCACTTGGCCACGACACCGATGCCGACAACGACAGCGACATCGACGACGACGGCGCCGCCGACAGCGACTGCGACGACACCGACGACGTCTCCAATGTTTTCGACGACGACAACGACGACGACGACACCGACGACGACGACAACGACGCCGACGACGACGACGAAGACGACGACGACGTCGCCAACGGAGACGACGACGAGGGAGGAGAAAAAACGACGACGGCGACAACGACGACAACGACGATGGAGGAGGGAAGACGGCGACGACGCCAACGACGAAGAAGGAGGAAGGACGGCGACGCCGACGACGACAACGACGAGGGAGGAGGGAAGACGACGACGATGACAACGACGACGAAGACGACGACGACGGCGACGAAATAGGAGGGACGACGACGAGACGCCGACGACGGACGACGACGACGAGGGAGGAGGATAACGACGAGGGAGGAGTGAAGACCACGACGACGACGACGACGACGACGACGACGGCGACGAAATAGGAGGGACAACGACGAGACGCCGACGAAGACAACGAGGGAGGAAGGACGACCACGGCGACAACGACGACGGAAACGACGACGACGCCAAAGACGACGAGGAAAGACAGAAGACGACGACGGCGACGACGACGACGACGACGACGACGACGAGGGAGGAGGGAGGACGACGACGACGACGACGACGCAAGAGCGCGCGCGCACAATTTTGTTGAAAACCCGTGTTGCGAAACCTTGTGTTTTTGTAGGTTTTTTGGACGCACGATTTCGACATTCTTCCGAAACCGAAGGTTTTTGAAGGATTTCGGCATACGCCCGCGACGACGCGCGCGTCTGCACTTCGTCATATTTTTTGCAGAGGATTCTCGCGACGGCACACGCGCAAGAGCGTTCGACAGATTTCGACATGCGCGCGCGCGAAGCCCGTCTGGTAGCATTTTGTGAAAATCTTGGAAAACATATGGTTTTCTTAAGATTTCGCAAGAGCTCGCGCGTAAGTTTTTTTTTGACTCAGTGTTGCGAAACCATGTGTTTTTATATGTTTTTTGGAAATTCAATTTTGAAATCTCTCCGGAACCGAAGGTTTTTTTTAAGGATTTCGGCATGCGCGCGCCACGACGCGCGCGTGTGCACTTCGTCCAATGTTTTGCCAGGAATTCGTGAAAAAGTGATATGTTAGAACAAAACATGTCACCGCATAGTGTTTTTTACAAGGGAACCGCAGGGGGGGGGAACCAGGCTTGGCTGGGATGGTACGAATTCATATTTAGGATGGACATGTGGTCAGAATCATATGTAATTGACAGCACGCGCGGGGGACCCGATAAGTCCGGGGGGGGGGTAGAATCTATTAGTCTTTTCGAAAGGAGAATCTAGATGGTGCGATCAATGTGGTGCAATCCATGTTGTGGAATCTATGTGATGAGGGCAAGGCGCTGGAATGCAAAACATACAAAGCCATGCAAAACAGGGCAACGCAAAGCAATGCAATGCAGAGCAATGCAGTACGATTGCAAAGCGACGCAATGCGATTGAAGCAATCCAATGCAATGCAACGCATTGCGATGCAGTGCAACGCAATGTACAGCAATGCAACGCAATGCAAAGCAATGCATTTCAATGTGATTGCAAAGCAATGCAAGGCATTGCAATACAACGCAAAGTGCGGGCCTCGCACATCCAAAACCATGAGCAGAGTGGTGCTGCGACGGACGGCGTCGACGGGCGGCAACGGGTGGCCGGACCGGCGCACAGTCTCAGTTGCGAGTCCTTCGCGATCGAAATCGTGCCCCGAGTGGTGCGGCGATGAGCGGCCACAAGACGGCCAGACTGGCGCGCAGGCCCAGTGCCTTGCGAGAGAAGCACGACGAGCCTTTGAGTGAGTGCAAGCAGTGCTCGGGGAAAAACATAGCGGAAGCGGACACCAGTGTTCAACTCGAGCCTTGGGAGGCGATGCTGAGTGGCGTCGGCGGCGCGGGAGACCTGGCCTCGGCGCAGATCCTGCGCCTCTTCCGGTTCACGGTGCTCGTGGAGATGTCCGCGGCGTCCGCGGAGCAGAGCTTGGAGGGGTCGCTGTGCATGACGGAAGCTCTCGGCCTCCCAGGCGGGGCCCCAGCAGATGGCCCGAGGATCGCGCCGCATCGCCGATGCATCGGCGGTGCGCCGGATGTGCAGCCCCATTTTCTCCACGCCGACGGCGCCGATGCATCGCCGACGTCGGCGATGCATCGGCGATGCGCGCGATCCTCCGACCCCATCTGCTCGGACCCCATCTAGGAGGCCTCGAAGGGGGGAAAAGTGGCATACGCATCAACTTGTAACTTCCCGCTGCCCCCCTTCGTTCAAAAGATCACTTTGCCAACAGAGAGTTTGCGCTGATGCTGTGCTGCACCTGTCGAGGAGAGACTGTGGTCGCAGCTCGAGGTTGGCCTGGACGCCCTGGATACCCTGCACAGCGAGGGCGAGGTTGCCATCTACAACCGTTCCCTGCAGCTATACTGCGGGATGGTGGAGCTCAAGTTCGACGCCACTAGCCAGGATAGGGACCCCAGAGAAGAACCCTCGCGATGGCGTTCTTCGTCTCCTCCCCCATCCCCACCTCCTTATCCTCCTCCTCGCCTTCTTCGCCCATTCCCCTCCTCGCCGCTCTTCCCCATCTTCCAGGATAGTAGAAGGAAGCGGGGACAGGGGACAGGGGAGGAGGGGGAGAGGGAGGGGTAGTAGGAGGAGCGAAGGGGGGAACGGGTGGGAAAGGATCGGGGGGGAGGGGGAAAGAGGGGGGGAGAGGAAAGCCCTGGTGAGCGAGGAGAGGTCAGGGCAAGAGAGGGGGAAGTCTTGGGGCGGAGGGTGGAGGAGGGGGGGGGGGGAAGGAGAGCGGGGAAGCAGGGGAGAATAGGGGGCAGGGGGGGGCAGAGAGAGGGAGAGGGGCTGGAGCCTCGCGCGCAGAGGGCGCGCCGCTGTTGGCAGCGCACCCCGCCCCTCCCGGAGAGGAGTCGCGCGCGGCCGCGCGCGTGGCGCGCCTCGCCGCCGCCAACGGCCCGGGGCTCCAGCGCGGGGGGGAGGGGCAAGCTGCCCCGTCCTCGGCCCCTCCTCCATCTCTCCTGCTCCTGTTCCTGCTCCTCCCTTTCCTCCTTCACCTCCCTTTCCTCCTTCACCTCCTCCTCCTCCTTCTCCTCCTCCTCCTCCTCCTCCTCCTCCCTCTGCTACCGTCGCTCCTCCTCCTCCTCCTCTTCCTCCTCCTCCTCCTCCTCCTCCTCCTCCTCCTCCTCCTTCTCCTCCTCCTCATCATCATCAACATCATCCCCCGTCTCCGTCCTCCTCCTCTTCTTCCTCCTCCTCCTCTTCCCATCCTGCTTTTCAATATTTGTCCTCATAGCTAACTCCTCCCCGTCGCATCCTCAGACGTGTCGGTGGGGTGGACAGGGTGTTTAGCCTGAGACTTCCTCCCCTCTTCTGATCTTGGAACTTGAAATATGCAATAGCTTCAAGGAGTGAGGGCGGATCGTTTTCAAAATCTGGCTCTCGCTTTAGCGCCACACACATTCGTCTTAAACGTTTGCAACATGTTCAAGGACTAAGGGCGGCTTGTTTCCAAAGTGCGGCTCTCGCCTCAGCGCCGCGCGAATTCGCCTTGAGGATGGAAGGCGGTTCCTTACCAGAAGGTGGTTCTGGCCTTAGCGCCACGCACATGTGCCTTAACATGTTGCAGCAGCTTCATGGGTGAAGGGCGGCTCCTTGCAAAAGATTGCTCTCGCTTCAGCGCCGCGCACATTCGTTTTAACAGTTCGTAGCAGGTTCAAGGGTGCGTATGGCTGAAGTCCCAGGGGTGATGTTCTGGCACGGTTTATGGTTGCCAGGACGCAACAGTCACGTTGGTTCGCGGCGCTGAAGTCGTAGGAACATCGTTTTCGCACGGTTGAGGATTATCAGACGGTTGTCTTCTAATGGGGCACTTCCCGCTATGGAAGTACATTATTGCAGGGGCGTTTGAATCGGGAACTTGGAGGGAAGGTGTTATTGCAACATCTTTGATGCGTTTTGGATTTGCACTGGTCCTCCTCCTCGTCATCCTCATCATCATGCTCCTCCTCCTCCTGCTCCTCCTAACCCGCCTCCCCCTTCATCCTCCATGGGGAGTGGAAGGAGCGAAAGGATGGGCAATTTGACCCTCCCCACCCCAGGGCCAATTCGAATCCGATCAGTCCGACTCCGCCATGACTCATGACCGAGTTCCGAGCGCTCGGGAACAGCCGCGGCGCCAGACACATCCGCCAGACCTGCCAGCTCTCAAAGATTCGCGACCTACCCCCATCAAAATGTAGACATCCTGCCTTCGTGTGAAGCTATGCACAGCCATTGTGCCTGGTAAGGTGCCAGGCGTGGTGGTGGTCTGTAGATAACCTATCATGGCCGATTTCGATCCCCTCGCGGTGGCACCCTCCCCCTCCTCTGTCGGATGCCCACGTCCCTCCTTTGTCCTCCTTCTTTTCTCTCCTAATGATGCGCTGGAAAATACGTCGGGCCCATCCCGACCCGACCAGTCCGACTCGATACCAGTTCTGGCCGGCCCGATGCGATCCGATTCCGTTACTCCAGCGACCCAGTGAGGCCCGATGTTTGCATGGCGTTGTCGTCAATTTTGGCACGGCCGATCCTGTTCGACTCTGATTCCGTGCAGATGCGGCCCGATCCGACTCGCGTCACCATGCGATCCGATGCCCCGATTCGATGTCGAACGATCCTGCCATCCTCCTCTCCCCATCCGGCACCCCCTCCCCTTCCCTCCTACCGCCCCAGGTCTGCTCGATTTACGAAAACGATAAGTAAGAACACAACGGAGGTTTTGGACCATTGTCGGGCGCGGTGTCCCCTCACCGGGCCCCAAGACCGTCAAACAATTGCTTGATATGAAAAGCCCGTCCCAGGGAAGGGGTCCAGACCTCCTGAGCCCAAGAAAACACACGACATCTGAGTTTTGGGCTCCTCGCCCTTCCAAACTCGAAGAAACGACACTTGCACAGACGTCGACTTTCGGAGGTCCGCTTCGGATCTCCGAAGGTCTGTGGCTGTGCAGTTGTGTTGGGGCTGCTCCAACCATCCCTCCCTCCCTTCCCCTCTTCTTGGCCTTACTCCTAAGTCGGGCACGTCCCTCTACAGGAGGAATATTCCAAAGTAGGCACACAAAATAGTCTGGGAACGATTTGTTTTCATATTTTCGACTATGGTGAAGCATGCTTCGCAGTCTTAATTTGTCTTCCAAAATCTGCCTGTAGGAGGACGTGCCCGACCTGACCTTCCTCCGCTCGGGCAGCTCTGCCGGGGTCCTGGTCCCCTCTCCGCTCCTCAGAGCGTGAATTACCTCCCCCGCTTTCGCTTCCAGGCAAAGCCAAGCCATACCACGCGCCTCCTCGTCAAGCGGCCTGACCAGTACAGGCTGCACTTTGGCATCGTTTGGTATCTCTTGGAAGCGAGGGTGGTCAAAAGCGAGGTAGGTTTGTATTCCCCCTAGCTGCGTGCAGCTGATTTCGGCCTCACCGAGGGGCCCATTCCTCGATACATGGCCGCCTCCGGCGCCGGGAGGCGCCGGGAAAATCAGCTACGTGAGCTGATTCTCAAACCCCCCCTTTGTCATCCCCCCCTTTCGCCCGACCCGATCTCCGCTCCTCTCCGCCTCCCGCGTGGCTCGGCCCCGGGCGCTGCTTCGCCCCGGCCCGGCCCTGACCTCCGGGCCGCGGCCGCCCCGAACGGCCTCCCTGCCGGGCCCGAGGCGTGCGCTTCCAGCGGCCCGCTCGAGCCCCTCGCCCGACGTGGCCCCAAGAGCCGAGGCAGCAGGAGGAGGAGGAGGAGGAGGAGGAGGACGAGGAGGAGGAGGAGTCTCTGGAGTCTCTGCCTGATCGCGTAGCGATATATTCCGATCGAGACCGCACGGCGCGGTACCACCTTCCACTCAGAAGGCCTTCGACAGCAGGGAGTGGTTCAACGCGTCGACGCTGAGGAAATGGCTGCACCGAGAGCTGAGAGAAGGTCTCCAACCTCACTGCCGCCGTCCTGCTTCGTCGGTGTGTTGCCGCTTGTAGACTCCCATTTCCATTCGTAACGTTGAGTACGACCGACTCCAACCTGTGTGTGAATCCATCTCCCATTACTGCCTTGTGATGCGGCCGCCAGGTGTGCAACGCGTCGCACGAAAGGCTGGGATTTCCGTCTCATGGCTCGTGTGATGCATTTATCTTCAAATTCCTTCTGTTCTGCAGCTCGCTCGCGGAGAAACGCTTCCACGTCTGACTCAGTGATTTTCCTTTTTCTGTAACTGACGACGTCGGGCTCGACCTTCGCACCGTGAGTCCGATCCCCGTCGTTGAAGCTGATGGCGTTGGGCTCGTGCTTCGTCTCTGCCACTGCCAACATCCAAGACTTCTCGCATGCACCGTACTCGGGTCTGTAGCTGATGACGTCGGGCTTGACCTTCCCGTCATGCGACACAGCCTTGTCGTTGTAGCTGATGGCATTGGGCTCGTGCTTCGTCACTACCACTGCCGTCATCCAAGACTTCTCGCATGCACCGTCCTCGGGTCCGTAGCTGATGACGTCGGGCACGACCTTCCCATCACGCGACCCAGTCCCGTCGTTGTAGCTGATGGCGCTGGACTTGAAATTCGGCCCCGCCACCGCCACCGTCCAAGACTTCTCGCATGCACCGTCGTTGTAGCTGATGGCATTGGACTGGTGCTCCGTCTCCGCCACTGCCGCCATCCAAGACTTCTCGCATGCACCGTCCTCGGTTCTGTGGCTAATGTCGGCGGGCTCGACTTTCCCGTCACGCGACACAGCCTCGCCGTTGTAGCTGATGGCATTGGACTCGTGCTTCGTCTCCGCCACTGCCGCCGTCCAAGTCTTCTCGCATGCACCGTCGTTGTAGCTGATGGTATTGGGCTGGTGTTTCATCTCCGCCACTGCCACCATCCAAGACTTCTCGCATGCACCGCCCTCGGGTCTGTAGCTGATGACGTCGGGCTCGACCTTGGCGTCGCGCGACGCACACCCGTCGTTGTAGCTGATGGCGTTGGGCTCGTGTTTCGTTTCCGCCACTGCCGCCATCCAGGGGTTCTCGCATGCACCGCCCTCGGGTCTGTAGCTGATGACGTCGGGCTTGACCTTCCCGTCATGCGACACAGCCTTGTCGTTGTAGCTGATGGCGCTGGACTCGAACATCGGCTCTACCACTGCCCCCATCCAAGACTTCTCGCATGCAGCGTCGTTGTAGCTGATGACATTGGGCTCGTGCTTCGTCGCTGCCACTGCCGCCATCCAAGACATCTCGCATGCACCGTCCTCTGGTCTGTAGCTAATGATGTCGGGCTCGACCTTCCCGTCACTTGACATAGCCTCGTCGTTGTAGCTGATGGCATTGGACTCGAGCTTCGCCTCCGGCTCTGCTCGCTGCTGCCACTGCCGTTCTGACCCCCACGTTCCTGCCGTGTCCTGCGGATGCTCCCATTGTCCATGTTGCTCCCGCTCGCTGCTCCCAACGCTGTAG